GGATCATTCAACTCCACGCACGCATTACGGACCTCCATTTGGCACATGAAGCCTTCAAAATGTTCGCAAAGACCGGGCCGTAACTGGTGGCACTTGGCGAGTGGTGACATCCGCCCGTCGGCGACCAACTATCCGATTGTCAGTAGAGCTCTGGGATAATTTACGCGAACAGATTTACCGGTGAAGGCGGGGGAGACGTGGAGAGACTCAACTCGCCGACAAGATTGTCAAGCAGGAGCACATTCCTCCTGGTTCGCCACACTCCACGAAGTGCTGCAGAAGGACGTTGAGCTTTCATTGCGACGTCGATGGACGAAATAACAGACCTTCTGGTTAAAGCTCGCGCAGGACCATGTCATATCACGCCCATGAACACTTGAAGTCCAGCTCACACTCCTCGTTGTCCACGCCCTCAGGGTGAAACGTTAGCGTTGTATTCTCGCCAATGAAGTACTTCAGGAGGCTCTCGGTGATGTCCATGACATTGAACTCGCAGATCGAGAACTTGAGGCTGTGTGTCGAATCGACGCCCCCGTGCACCCGGTCCAGACCGCCAACGACGTGTTGCTCCAAGCACAATTCGGGGGCGATACGTAGATACAAGTCAAGGTTAAGACCATTCTGGTGCGGGACAAGCGGCTCTACAGCTGCGCCGCCAGCGATTCGACAACGGGGGATCCGAAGTTGTCGAGGAGCTGGCAAATATAGTTGACGATGCGACTGCGGGTAATGAAGATGCGCCTTGCGTTCTCGTGAGAACGAGGCCTAGGCAGCGCTCACGGTAGCGGGGTTCCCTGGTCCTTGAGCAGCGGCAAGTGGTGGAGATTCGGGTCGAGGGAAAAAGAACAGTCGAGAGCTCGCTCTTCTTGCTGCGCCCCAGGGTTCCGATGACACAGTCAATGTCGAAGGTGCTCGTGCTGCGTGACGGAGCCTTCTGAAGAGGAATATTTCTGTGAGCCTGCATGTGGCCGCCGGAAAAGCGAGAAGGACTCACGTATCTGACCACTGCGGAGAGACACGAACATTACGGATACATCCCACCAGGCATTCAATGGTGTCCTCAGTCCTCTCTCTGGGCTTGATCTTGCTTTCAGGACCATACTTGCCAGTGTAGTGCGGAAGCGATATCGAGACCTCGGACTCTCAAGGGACTCATGGTCTCCTCGAGCCCGCAGACGTGGTACGAGGCGAAATTCGAAGTATTGCTGGAAGAGGTCAGCATCCCAAGTCGTGAGACAGCGTATGCGGCGTACGTTCAGCTTAAGGTCTCCCAGCCGCTCGTGTCTTCGTTTGCTTGAGAAGGTTCTGCTTGGCCCTTGAGCGGTTCATCTGAAAGTACGCTCAGCCAAGTCTGAGAGGAAAAGGGGAAGCAGCGCACCCATTGCTGACGCGACCACTCGGCATACGAGAAAATGTCGTCCAAGGGGCCCTTGTCCGCTGCGAAAGATGAGCTGGCCATCTCGAAAATGCGCCCCTGCCTTGACTCCAGTCTTAAAGTTCGACATTACACAGCTAGCAAGATGACGACATGTTCAGCTTCTTCCCTGTTGATCACGTTTGTGAAGCTGGGCCCAGGTAGGTGGAGTGAAACGGACACACGAGAGAACATCCCCGCCGTCGGAGTGACACGCAAGAGTAAGCCGCACGACAAGAACGGAAGAGCAAGGCTGGTAGGATACAAAGCTCGTTCGGTCAACTTGCGTAGATAGCATGCACGAGTCTGGCCGAGAATACTTAAACCGCCAAATACGTGGCGCTAAACACCAAGCGTCATTTCCGACTTGTTCTCGCCCTCTTCCCCGCTCCTGCTCGCCATTCCCTCAGCCGTTCAGGATCTCCTCTGTTCCTCTGCTTCCCTTCCCAGCGCTGCCTCGCCTTTGAAAGGGCGTCATGGTTTCCGATTGATTATCCTGCTGGTGCGTTATCTCACGTTACCATTTTCCCGTCCTGTAATGATGGTGCCCACAGGAAGCTGAGCGTGTCTCCAAACCGGCTCAACCCGAACGTGAACGAGCCATTGTCGGGGATGTAATTGGCGATTGGTAAGCGACGTGCGCTGTATGCACTCAGACACGTAGTGCAGGTCTGGGATCTCAATGAGGTGCGCAGTCTGTATGATCTTCCGCGAGCCTCGCTCATCGAGCTTCTGTCGCCTAGGTATGCCTCTTCAAGCTTCCGACTTCCAGCTCCATCGCCGAATGCCAGCGCCAAAACATTCTATCGGCACTAGATGCCAGAGAAATATTCTTCCATGAAGGCACACTCTGGCTGCTCATCGCGCCTCTGCCGTCGTACACACTCGCGAGCCTAGGGCACAGGTTCGTACCAAATTCCCAAGCACGTCGTGAGTTCACTGACCAGCGAAAATTTGCTCCTTTACCGTCACTGCGACCTTCTCGTACACGATGCAATCCGTTCTTTCTCGCTCCAGTCCCCGTACACACTCAGACGGTATCTCATGATGCCGCTCGCCATCGGCGTCGCGATGCCCAATAACGAGGCGGCTTCAAAGCGGCGTAGTGGAGCAGGTAATGAAGCCGGATCATCGAGGACACGCTTGCGAGGACACTAACCATCTCAAAAGATGCTAGCAAGAGCGCTCTACCGGCTCGCGGACGGATAGGTTGTGGTAGTACGGAGTACCCAAGTATAATATCTTATTCTGCAATGACAGCATATGTGCATAACCTTCCAGAGTGTTCTATCCATGGAGACGTGCGAGATATCTGCTGAACGAGTACACGAACATAAGCCAGATTGGTATATCATTCCTCGAAATCTCTCTTCGCCTTCGCCCACCTCTGGCATCACCGCTTCAGAACTTTTGACCTTGCGTACCGCTCACCTATCCACATCCTCTTCTAGTCCCCTCCTAACAGCGCTACAACCTTCTCCGTTTCGCCGATTCTCCACGTACGCGTTACGAGCCGCACGGCGCATGCGCGATGCGCCCTACTCACGATGCTCGTGCACGCCGGGGGCCGCGGGTTCGCCATGGGGCGGGTTCTCTGCATGGATGCCGGCGTCGCGGTCGAGAAGCAGACGCACGACCTCAGTATGTCCCTTCGCCTCCGCGTGGTCCAGTGCACGTAATCCGTCGGTGTCCATGACTGTGATGTCTGCGCCGTTCTCGAGGAGAACGCGGGCAACTTCGACGTGCCCGTTCGAGGCTGTATTGAACAGTGGGGTCCTTCCTTTCCGGCACTCCGGGTCTCCATGGCCTTGTTGTGCGGCGTCATGCGGTGGTGTCCACCCGCGCTTTTCCTGTATGTCGACAGCTGCGCCGTGCTGGATAAGGACGTGCGCAATGTCGGCTCGGCCGTAGTATGCAGCGACATGGGCTCTGACTGTACGCCGACTTGCGCTGCGTGGCTTTGTTGGGTGCAACCATCATCTTTTGTTGCTGTTATGTGTGCGCCGCGACTTTGGCTACTTCAATTGATTGGATGGATCAATGACATGAATGTGCATGCGTTGCCATCTTTCACCACCTTTTCATCTACTGTCGTTGTCAATTCATGGGCCACGTGGTGCTTTTGAAGTAGAGACAATAATATTACAGCCAGCGATCTAAATACACTACTATGTGCGGTCAGTGCAGAAGCCCTTGAGGTGGTTACTCAATGCTGAGAAGTTGAGCCTAACGCCTGCGTATCAATAACGAGAGGCACTTACAGCTGAACGAGTTGTTTGCCACCGTCGACTAAAACTCCGGAGCCGTCAGGGGATAGGCGCGCGATGCTGAACGGGGTACCTGTGTGAAGGACGAGGAGGTAACTCCCGTTTCAACGTCCCACAGCACCATACGACTCTGGGATATTAAAACGGGGACTAGTGCAAGTCCTAGTTCTTCACTTGCGGGGGAAGACGACGGGGTCGGGTGCGGCTTGTGTGCGGAGGACGAGGAGAATGAAGCTGCCTGGGGATGGTCGTCGTTCTTCCTCGTACTGCAGACTCTTTCACAAGCCCCTCCAAATGGCGCTGGTCGCGTTAGGCCCCGTCCGAAAGGCGGAGCATCTTGATGCCCATATCGTGCTGCTCTCTGAACTCGAGGACCCGGATAAGCCGCAACGCAAGGGAGTGCAGACGCGTCCGCCGCATCCAGCGTACGATGTGGCGTTTGTTATACTTGAACCCGCAGGGATTGAGCCATTTGAGAGCTGGGAACGCTGTCGGGGCCTTGGAAATCGAGAACAGCATGCGGAGCGTGGCCTCGTCGTTGATCACGCCCAGCTGCCGCAGCTTGAGCAGGCGGAGAAGTAGCGCCGAACACTGGCGCCTACCGCTGGAGTGCAGGCGAGCGTGGTAGCGTGGAGCTCGGAGGAGGGGAACGAACTGCACCATGCACGAGGAGGACAATGTCGGGATCCCCCCGGAGGGCAAAGACGAAAGAGATGTCTTCAGGCTGGAGAAGCTTGTCACCTCCCGGTCGCCCGTCGTGCGCGAGAAGATCGAGATGAACCCATCTGGAGGGCCCGGCGGGACCCGTGGTACTTGCCGTCGTCTTGATCAGCTTCATCGCAGAGAATAGCAGGAATCTCTTGAAGTCTGAACGGATGGTCAGCGAGAATGAGGAAGAACGGAGAACACGCAAGACGTACCAGCAGAGTCGGTCAGGAGCGTCACCAGACGTTCGATACCAGCCCATCGGCGAGAGACCGCGCTCCAGACTAACATAATAGAATCATTAACATTAGATGGAGCGCACATACAGCAGGGGGCGGTATGCACGCGTCAACGAACACCCTACTGGTACCCTAAGCCTCGTCATCGCCCTCCTCCTCATGCCGAACCTGCTCCTCGAACTGCAGCCGTTGCTCAAAAGGCCAGTTCAGCTCTGTATAAGCATTGTAGAATGTCTTTGCATAGAAGAGCCCTTCGAAATGCTCGCAAAGACCGAGCCTCGACCTGTGGGCGACCGACTGCCAGGTCGTCAGAAGCGCACCAGGGGCATTTACACGGATCGGCTTACCAATCAAGGCGGGAGAGATGCAGAGAGGGTTGATAAACCCGCCAACGAGCCAGCCCAGCAGACGCACATTCGTCCGGGGCTCGCTGCATCTCACGAAGTGCTGTAAAGTGCCGTTGAGCTTTCGGTCATTCGTCATAACATCGGCAAGCGAAAGAACACACCTTCAAGCACAACTCCCCCGTAGGAACTTGCTCGCCTCTTCGGTGCGCAGTGTCTCCCCTGCCTGGAATATCTCCTCGAGCGTCTCCCTCTCCTGTCGTGATCGCGCCCATGGCCGCCTGAAGCTCAGCTCGAACGCCTTCTCGCTGCCTCTGCTCTCGGGGTGGTATTTCGGCATCGTCTTCCCACCAGTGAGGTCCTTCATTCCAATACCCTCGGCCAGGCTCCCAGTGATGTCGCAGTCCGCGTACGCCATTTGGAACTCGCAGATCGAGAGCTCGGGGTCGTGCGTCAGGTCGACGCCTTTGCTGCAGAACACACGACTGATCTCGTACACTCAGCCCTGACCACCAGCGACGAGCTGCTTCAGGTACAGCAAGGGTCGAGATCGTGGTGAACCGCTTCGTAGTCGTTCTGCCAGAGATCATCGGCGTCTCGACCTCGGAGAAGCTGAGATTGTTGAAGACCCGACGGACGTAGTTGACGATATGATGGCGGGCAATGAAGCTTGGAGCTGCGCCTCGTATCCTCGTGAAGACGAGGCCCAGGTAGCGCTTGCGATAGCGGGGTATCCTGACCCTCCAGATCGAAGCAGCTCAACGGCAGCTGGCGGAGGTTTGGGAAAGGAGAGTTATCTCTGGACGCATGGTCAAGAGCTCGACATTCCTGGCAAGTTCCAACGACATTGACGATGCATGGCGGAAGTGGTCGTGTTGCGCGACGAAGCCCTCTGGGTTCTTGGCATCTCTAAAGAGCGACAGCTCCGTGAGCGTGTAGTTGCCGGGCAGGCAAAAATACTCACTGCTACCATTACTTGGGCCATCTCGTCCTCGCCGTGGAGATACACGAAAGTTACAGATACGTCCCTCAGGGCATTCAACGACGCCTTCAAGCTCTTCTCCCCTGGCTTGAAGTTGCACTCAGGACCACGCTTTTCAATATGGCGCGGAAGCGGTATCGAGACCTCGAACTTGTGAGGGTAGAGGTCAGGGCCCATGGTCTCCTTGAGCTTGCAGACGCGGTGCCAGCGGAATTCGAGATATACCTGGTATGGTTCAGTATCTCAAATCGTGAGGCAGTGTGCAGAGCAGCGTACGTTCAGCTCGGGGCCTCTTTCGCTTACTCGTTCACTCGACAGGGCTCATCTGAAAGCAAGTTTAGGGAAGCCTAAGAAGGGGAGGAGAGGCAGCGCACCCATAGGGCCCTTGTCCGTTGCAGACCGTCTTGAGAAAGGCTCCTGCCTTGCTTCCGGTCGACTTGAACTCGGATGTTACATGACTGGCAAGATAGTGGTATGTCCAGCTTTTCTCCACTCGTCACGCTTGTGAAGCTGGGAGCCTGGTACCGTGGGAGGGGAAGAGCGCGCACACCGGAGACAACACACAGCCCGCCGGAGCGGTGCGCACGGCAGAAGCGAGATGGCAGACTCAGTGCAGAGCTGGTGCAAGTGAAGGTGTGTGGGTAGCATGCACGAGTCGAGGACGCGACCGTGAATGTCACAACAACGGGAGCCACTCATACAGCCAAACGCTACAGTAAACGCTGCAGCACTTGCCATTTCCAACTCACTCTTGTCCTCCTCCCTGCTCTTGCTCGTCCGCGTCATTGCCGGCCTTTCCGGCTGACTATGCCGCTAGTGAGCTATCCCACGTCGCCGTTTCCAAGCCTGCTGCTCTGTAACAACCGCGCCCGCAGAAACCTGGACATGCCTCCAAACCGGCCCAACCTGAGCGGGCTACCGTCGGTCATGTCATTGACGGTTTAGTCTCCCGCGTGCGCTGTATACACTCGGACACGTAGCATAGGTCTGGGATCTCAATAAGGTGTGCAGCCAACAGGATCTTTTGCGAATCTGGCTCATTCAGCCGCCGCTACCTAGGGCATGCCTCTTTGACGTTCGTTGCCAGATGCCA